AGGAAATAGAGCTTATGATAAAATTTATAAAAAAAAAAGTTCAACACTGTTTTTAGGCCAGAAAAACTCAAGTGACCCAAAATATTTTGCATGTGATGGAATAAGCCATTTGAAGGTGGAATGTGCAACATTGAAGAAGAAAGGAAAGTATGCATTTCAAGCTACCTGAAGTGATGAGAAAGATAGTAAAGAATATGAAGATACAAGTCATGATGAAAATGTAGTTGTTTTTGTTGCCAATAAAGGAGAATTTAGCAAACGGAAAGAATGTGTGTTCGAAGAAGAATGTAACAACAACGACACTGTTGAGATGGACATCTATGAGCTGATGGAAGCTTATGAGGAAGTTATTGCTAAACAAAACGTTTGTGTCAAAATAAAAAATGAGTTGATCAACACGGTTTATCATTTGGAAGCTCGAGTTGAAAAAGTTGAGGAAGTAAATCAGGAAATGTTCGAAATCAATGAAGGACTTAACAGGGAAGTCAAACAGCTGAAGATGAAGAATGATGATCTGAGGGAGGAGAATGATAGACTCGGAAAAGGAAAAGAGAAGCTTGATGAAGTGTTTTCAATTGGAAAGCCATTTGAAGATCATAAAGAAATTGGTTATCAATAATCAATGGAGCCTAAACCCACTACCTTCATAAAATGAGGTCTCCTTACTGGTGTGAAAATTCCTGAGAAACCCCCAACAGAAAAAGTGACTGAAGCTCCAAGTCAAAACAAAAGGAGAGGCAGAACCGAATTCGTAGAAGGAATAGACATGTCAACTCGTCGTCACAATAAAAGAGTAACTGCAAGTACTTTTTTGATCTGATCATGCTAAATCAAATTGTTTCAAGCTGGCTAGGGATTTAATGTCTGGAAAATAGTTCATTGGCCATCAGAAGAGCTAAGACTGAGTGAATTTTATAATAGAATGGAGACCAAAGAAGAATCAATCTCAAATTATGTGCAATATCATTATATCAAGTCAAGAAACCACTAATTTATCTCGATGGTATTTCGATAGTGGATGTTCACACCATATGACGAATCAGAAGTATCTCTTGAAGGATTATGTAGCTGACAAATATGGAGAAGTGATATTTGGAGACGGTGCTAAAGGAAAATTTTTGGGCTATAGTTCTCTGAAAGCCAAAGGCATACCGAAGTTATCAAATGTATATTTTGTGGAAGACTTAAGCACTAATCTCATTAGTATCAGTCAGTTATGTGATGATGAGTTACAAGTGAAGTTTACTAAGAATGTTTGTGAGGTGTACAACAACAAGAAGGAATGCATGATGACTGGAAAAAGATCGATGAACAATTGCTACCTTCTCAATAAGCCAATGGATATTGCATTGATCTCAAATGATGGTGAAGTTCTTCTATGGCATACAAGACTTGGTCATGTCAAAACCATAACTTGATAAAGTTGAGCAAACAGGGAATTATCAGAGGACTTCCAAAGTTTTCAAAGTTACCTAACTTTTTTGTGGTGACTGTGATCGTGGAAAGCAGAAACGTGTCTATCACCCGTTGTCGGAACATCAAAGCATCAACACATGTCTGGATTTTCTGCATATGGATTTGATGGGTCCAGTGGATACACCCAATATTGGAGGTAAAAAAAGTAAATTCTTATTTGCGTTGATGACTTCTCTAGATACACATGGGTTGATTTTATGAAGGAGAAAGGTGATACATTTGATGTCTTTGAGAATTTGTGCAAAAATATTGATGAATGAGAAGAGATCTAAGGTGAATCGAATTCATACCGATCATGGTAAGGAGTTTGAGAATCAGAAGTTTAATGGTTTCTATGTTGATCTTGGAATACTTCATGAGTATTCAAACGCGAAGACCCCACAACAAAATGGAGTCGTAAAAATGAAGAACCAAACACTTCAAGAAACGGCTAGATCAATAATGCAAGCCAAAGGTGTTGCGAAGTATTTATGGACTGAGGCGATCAATACTGCATGTTATGTGATCAAATAGGTATTAAATTCATATTAAATTGATTCTGAAATATAGGTATTTGTGGGGTCAAATTCAAGTTACTATCAACAACTTGGGTTGAGTTCAGTTAAATCGACAACATTTTCAACCCTTTCACTGTCATCCTTATCTGCCATGAATCTATCTTCTGAAAATTAGAAGCCCATATAATAAGACTAACCAAGTGATGAAATCCAACACTAGCTTTTTTGCATAAAAGATAAAATTGTCTGTTGAAGTTAATGCAATCTAATAAGTAGTCAATCCTAAATATAAAGCAGACTTAAATCTAAGAAATCCATACACTACACAATCAAGGAAACAAGAAACTCTAAAGGAATGTACAATCTCCGGCTTCAAATATAAAAAGAAAAAAAAACATAAAAATTCCAAAAGAATCAAGAAATACTCAATCCAAGGAGATGAATGGTTCTGTTTCTCAAAAGAAAAAAAAATGCTAAAAGAAATCGACGGACAAAAAGTACACATCTTTAATTTCCTAAAAAAAATATAAAAAACTCAATTTTCAAATGCCAAAAGAATAAATAATAATAATAAAAAAAATACAATCTTCAAATTCCTAAATATATAGATATATATATATATATCTTGATCTTTCTCAAGAATTTCCGCAATTGATAGAAGTAAACTAATTTAACAAGAATGTGGATATTGAAACCAAGAAAGTAATTTATATACAACAAAAATACGTACTTGGAATCGACGGACCCGACGTCATAACAGAAAGGTGGGGTGAAGAACAATCGCGGGTGAAGACGCTTTACTGGACCGTGAGAGAAAACATGAGGAATAGTTTTGTTTCTATTTCATGAAAGGAAATTTCTATTTGAATGGTTGAGTTGAAAAGGGGCAAAATAAATTATGTTTGAAAATCAATTTACATATTGGAGTTGATTGGTCAATTTTAAGAGTCATTACGCAATATTTGTAAGGACCGCCATCAAATTCGTCTCCCAGCTTCGACACATTAGATTGCACTAAGCTTTTTGGTCGTGATCTTTGTCCTTGCTCTTAGCAGTAATCATTTTCTTTTCTTCACAAGTATATTGAGCCATAAGTTGGGTGCATGAACAAGTATACAAGCACTTACAAAAACTTATATATAGTAAGTATTGTAGACAAAAAATTATGTTGTTTTTAATAAACATCAAAATTGTACAAATTACGTTTGATTTGAATTTAAAGGGTCACATTTGATGATTTCGTGAAGAACTCGACGAACGCCTTGTAGCTTTAGGATGAATTCAAATGCTCTTCATTGGCTTTGACGGATTCTTACGGCTTTTGGAGCTTTGATCATTCATCTAGTTTAGACATACAAAGAAGAACATTAGCTCATCGATTTTTCAATCAATATTAGATCATTTTTCTAAAATCCGGAGACTTTTTTACGAATAACGCTTCGAAAGACATGAAAAATATGAAGAACAACGCAGAGAGTTTAGAGAGACTTACCCGTACTTGAGTCTTCAAATGAACTCCGTTGTGTCAAATAAATTAGCCAAAACTCTTATTTATAGGAGATGTGTGGCCTCGGCTTCCTTTTCGGATGATGTCATGTGATGCGTCATGATTGACCAACGGGAGAATTTAATAATCTTTAATTTTTCATCATATATCGTTTTCCATTTTTGAATGATTTGATTGTGCACCTTCTTTTCTCGTCAAAATCTTTATATCATTTTCTTTCTTGGAAGATATTAATTTAAATATTTCATTTTTTGACGAGATTTTTATTATGCTGCCAAATTTATTATGGCTCTATTTATCCACGTAATATTTGTATGATATCTTATATTTTAAGCCGATTTTGCATTAATGGTTGATATTTATTGTATAAATATTAACATATGTACATAATTAAATACTACATATTTATTATATCAAAATTTTATTTTCTTGAAATATATGATATTTAATTTAATTTAGATATTCAATTTTTATTGCCTACAAATACAATTAATAATTAATACTACCTCTGTCCGGCTTTAAGATCATATTTACTTTTTTCATGTTGATATTTGAATATTAATTATTATATTAAAACGTAGTACAAATCAAAGAAAAATGACAACAATATTTCTATTAGTGTCTTATAATACTAATATACTATATTTCTACAAAAAAAATATATAATAATTTTTTAATATTAAGTACGATGACACAAAAGATAAATGTAACTCTTTAAGACGGATTGAGGGAGTATTATATATATAATATAATATAATAGTAAATACAATTAATAATTAATATTACATTTGGGCAGTACATAGAGTAGTTTTAACTAGTAACTAGTACTTTCTTAGTCTCACTTAATTTGTCCAATTTTTCTATTTTCGTTCGTTAAACATAATTTTATTATTATTATTATTTTTAAAAAAAATATAATTATATATTTTAATCACATTTTAAAATTTATAAAATATAGTTTTTTATTTTAAATAAATAATTTAGTTATTTTAATTTTAATTTATAATTATTTTTACTAGTAAATTTTACTTATTAATTATCCAACCTAAATTAATATGAACAATTTAAGGGAGAAGAAAATAGTAATATAAATCATAAATTAATGGATTTATGATAGGTTGTGGCGGCCGGACAACATTTTATTTAAACATTTACTCCGACTGACAACTTTGATTATCTTCCGTTCAAGTCCCTAATTTCTGCCAAATATTAACTACTACCCGTCTCCATCATCAGGCACATGTAGCTTACAAACACACTCATTATTATATATTCTAATTTTATTTTAAAATTTTTAATTTAAATTTTTTAAAATTTTAATTATATTAATTAATTCTTTTAATTTTTATTTAAAATTATTTACTAAGTTCTTGATGTCTACCGTAAATGTGACATGTTTGGACTAAAAGAATATTTTAAATATATATATAGATAAGATAGATATCATATCAGATACATATCCAATTTTTTTTTTTTATTTTATTTATTTTAAACAATTATTTGTCCCCTATCAAACACCAAGATATTAATAAATAAACCCTTCAGCCCAGCACAGCAGCAGTAACCATTGATTGATTCTGATCCGATCTGATCTGATCTGATCGATCGATTCTGGTGCAACAATGGAGGCCAACACCACCATCAATTTCTACGAATCCGAGTTCTTCAACGCACAGACAGGCCGCTTCCAGCCCGTCTCCATCCCCGTCGTCCAGGACCTCGCCCGTTCAAGCACCCTACCCGAGAGCTTCATCCGGAGCCCCGGCCCGGCCCGGCCGCTCCCGCCGGGAGTGTTCGAGGCCGTCGACATGGCCCGTCTCCGGGACCCGTCGGGCCGGGCCGAGGAGCTGCGGAGGCTGGGGCGAGTGTGCAAGGAATGGAGCATGTTCTTGGTGGAGAACCACGGCGTCGATCCGGCGGTGGTCGACGCCCTCCGGAGGGTGGTGAAGGGCTTTTTCGATCTGCCGTTTCCGGAGAAGAAATCGTCGGTAGGGACGTACAATAACACCGACAATTTGGGGTATGGCCGGAATTTCGTCAAGTCGGAAGATCAGCCGTTGGATTGGATAGATCGGTTGGCTATGAAGGCAGCGCCGGAAGGGGCCACCGACGGCCTCCGCGTTTGGCCGGAAAATCCACCCGATTTCAGGTTAACTATTTTAACTATACCCTCGCGGTCCAGTAAAATTAGCCACTCTGATCACAAATTAAATATTTTTAAAAGTTTAGTTACAAATTAAATTAAATAAAATAAAGAGGGAAAAATTTAATAAAAGAAGTAGTATTTATTATAAATAAATATTAAATAAAAAATAATAATTAAATATTAAATTTGTTTATTTTTATCAAAAATTAATTTATTGAGCAAATTAATTATTTTTTTAAAAAATATAATTATACATTTTAATTATATTTTATATTTTATAATTTTTTTAATTTTAATTAAAATATTTAATTATTTTAATTTTAATTTATAATTATTTTTATTAATATATATATATATATTTTTTTAATTATTTATTAATTATTTTATCTAAATTCTCTACCGTAATAATCTCATATCAAGTCGGACGAACTTATGGAAAATAATGTATTTATTTATTTGTACTTATAACGACGTGGACAATGAGTAGGCCAACTTCAACAAGAGGCTATTTCATTTTTGTTTTTTCGTTTTATTAAAGAAAATTACATTTTAGTCATATTTTAATCATATAGGGACTTATTTGTAATTTGATATTTTAATTATTTATATATATAGGATGTTTTTTTAAAATCACCAATATCTTTTCTAAGTATAGCTTATTTTTATATTATCTACGTAATTTTTTATATTTTACATAAAAATTATTCATTCAAATTATTTTGCAAAATAAATATACCTATAGTTTTTGTATTTAATATAATACTTCATCAGTTCCAAGATAATTGACCCATTTAATTTTTGACACGGTATTTAAGATAATGATGTTTAATTAATTAATAATAATAAGTTTTGATATTAATTTACTACTTCTGTCCCATAAGAAAGAGTAACCTAGATTTTGTGCGTATTGATATTTGAATATTAATCATTATATCAAAACTTAAAACAAATCAAAAAGTAACGACAAAAATACATTTTTTAGTCTCTTATAATACAAATACAATAACATTTATGGAGTATATTATACAAATATAAGAATCTTTTTAATTTTAAATACAATGATGTAAATGACAAATAGTGTTTGATTTCAGGGGATGGAAGTAATATTATTATTTTTTTTTTTGTAATTAACTATATTGATAATTTCAAATAAATTTAATATATATGATTAAGAAAAATTAGAATGTACATTTAAATATTTTAAAAATTATATTGCAATAAAATATATATGTAATATGAATATTATTTTGTAAAGAATATAAATAAATAAATAAAAATATGTTTATTTATTTATAATTAACATAAACCATTTTTTATAAAAGATGTAAAGTTTTAAAATCTCAAAATAATCCTAATCATTTTTTCACTTTTGTCCATCTCAAAATTAGAATATAATTTTTTAATTTAGTAATTGTACTGTTTATCTAATATAATAAATATCCTTACAACTTGAATTTTATTACAGAAATACCATTACTTTTATATTACAAAATATTAATAAGAATATTTTTGTTCTTTTTACTGCAAATTAATATAATATTAATATTAAAAAATTTACCTAAAAAAAACAAATGGTGTACTTTAATTTAATATATATATATATATATATTCTGTTTTGAAAAATGAAGGGTTTGTTTAGTGTTTTGATTTGAGGTACTTTATTATATATTGTACAAAAAGTTAAGCAAATAATATAAAAACAATATTTTATGTTAAATGTTATATACTTCCTTCGTCCGCCTCTAAGACTCACATTTATTTTTTGCGTTATTGCATTTAACATTAAAAATATCTTTATATTTGTATAATTTTTTATACAAATGTCATTCTATTAGTATTATAAGATACTAATAGACGTATTTTTACAATTTTTTCTTAATTTGTACTATATTTTGATATAACAATTAATATTCAAAAATTAGCATGCAAAGAGTAAATGAGACCTTTGTAAGTGAACGAATATAATATATTATAAGTATTTTTTTTTTGAGATGATAAAATATATATTATATATAATGGGATCATTCCGGAAATTATGTTTATGGGAAAAACAAACTCTAATAATCCCTCCCTCGTCGATTAATAGGCTTAAAGCTTTTCGGCACCAATTTTAATTTGATGTGTAATTTTTCATTTCTTTTTTCTTTTATAATAAAAATATAAAAAATGGGCAATGATTTTCTACTAAAGAGTTAGCATATATGTATATGTTTATCAAGGATAGTATTATTACTGAATGTTAAACTTAAAAAAATAATACTACTTCCGTCAAATTTTTATTGTCCTAAAGTATATTTACACGATTTTTTAGGTGATTATTTTTTTGTTATGAATTGACAAATTTGCCCTTAATTATACGGTAGAGATGAAAAGTAATAAATGAATGAATGATAAATATGTAAAATTTGTGTTTAAAAAAAAATAGGACAATAGTTGTTTGACGTCCAAAATAAAAAAGTAGGACATTTGTTCGTGGATGGAGAGAGTATATAAACAGAGCTAAATCTAGATTTTTAGATTTGTAGTAGAAACTAATGTTCACTTGTAGGTCATATTTCCTTCATCTCTAAATTTGTGTTCAAAATTTTTTTCATATGATTTTTAATGTGATATTTTAATTGATCTTTTTTTTTTAAGTAATATATATATATATATATAAGATATTATATCTTTTCATTAAAAAAATGAGAATATTTTTAAAGGAGCAATAAAAAATTAAAAAATAAAAAGGAAAAATCACAATTTTATGAGACGGCAGAATGCAATATTATTTAATTTAACGTAGTTATTTGTTTATTTTCTATGATTTAAATTTGATACTTATGAAGGCATGTCACTTAGAGGTTTGTTTAAGTTGACAAATCAGGGTTTGTTATCGACTGCTTTACAATTATATACTCCCACCCTCCGTCCCAATACGATAGTTTTGTTTACTATTTTTGTCCGTCCCAGAATAATAGTCTTATTTTCATAAATAACCATATCACTATAAAACTACTTATACTTTTTTATTTTTATTACACAATTGCCACTATTTTTTACACTAATACACTCACAAGGGCAAAAATATCTTTTATCCATACTTTTTACCAACTACCAATAATATCAATATTCCTTAAATCCCGTGTCCAACCCAATTAAAACTATATTTATGGGACGGAGGGAGTATCTAATTAGGCGGCGGTTAATCAGCAGGCGAGTCAAATAAATTAGATCGTCAACACAAATCAATCAGTTAAACTGCGCACGTTTATAGTTATAACACAATATTGTGTCATATACAAGTATACGGTGTGTGATTTATAATTATATTGTATTATATATATATATTTATTATGCTGAATCAATAATATATTATAGTATGGAAAAATATATCAAAACATATACTACTTCCGTCCGGCTCTAAGCTCTGATTCTGATTTACTTTTTGCATGTTGATATATAAATATGAATTATTATATCAAAACGTACTATAAATTAAGAAAAAAATGCAAAAATACTTTCATTATCATCTTGTATATAATACTAATAGAAGAACATTGGTACAAAAAATTATACAAATATATGGATATTTTTAATATCAAGTACAATAACGTAAAAGGTAAATGTGACCCTTAGAGGCGGACAAGAAAAAAGTATCATATATTATATATTGTATTATCATGTGCTATCAAATATATGCCATAAATTTTACTAATTTGTGCTAATTGGATCAAATCAGCACAATAAAAACCAAATCGATCTACTTAATCGGCATGAGATGGGATGCAGGGCGGCGATGGAGGAGTATGTGATAGCTGGGCGGAAAGTTCTAGACGAGGTCCTTGAAGCGTTGGCGGAGTCCATATCCCTCCCGAAGAATGCATTCTCCAAAAGCTTCAATCTACAAACAAGTGAAGTTAACGTTCGAGTCAACTATTATCCTCCCAGCCCTAATCCCGACCTAACACTCGGCATAACTCCCCACAGCGACAACAGCATGCTCACTCTCCTAATCCAATTCGACTCCACAAATGGCCTTCAACTCTTCAAGAACGACCAATGGCTCACTGCGCCGTGGCCACGCAATGCATTGCTCGTAAATTTGGGTGACCTAATCGAAATATCTAGCAATGGCAGGCTCCAAAGCTCGTGGCATCGGGCAGCTTCTCAGCGACATGTGGATAGGTACTCGGTCGCTTTGTTATATCGCCCGGGAGAAAATGAGGTCATCGGAAACGACAGCGGTGAGTATGGGAGAGTTGTGGTGGGAGACTACGTCAGGAATTATTACAAGGTAAGCCCAACGCCTACTAAAGAAACTGCCCTATCCTTTGCTAAATTTAAGAAATGAATTTCATTTTGTGGACAGTTAGTGTGAAAATAGTGATGTATTGGAATACCAAATGATATATAACCATAATGCATGTTATAAATCATATACTTTGATTATATTTGTATTGAAATATACATAATAGATATACTTCACAATGAGAAAATATGATAGATATTTAGTTTATCATCCTATCAAATATGTTTGTCAGAAGACATAAAAAATAGTATCTCCTACAATCACATACAACAAATATTGTTCAAACCCCGACGACTCAAGTCACCTGCCAAACATGGTTCGCCTAGTGTGTCTTGTCTGTCGGACCTAGTTTACAAGGTATTAGGTTCGGCTGAGGGTTTACCCAGTGCGCACTTTCGGGTAGCGACTACAGTTCCCACGTCATAAAAAAAAAAAAAAATGTTCAACCATGCGACATGGCTCATCAAACTAAATATGAGTTAGAACTATGAATTCAAAGCTTAACAATAATGATAAAGAATTAAAAATTGGCCCTCAACACTTCAACGAAGCCCAACAATCTCATCAATGTGTACGATTTAACAAATAAAACCATTCAAAAGCAAATGGTACAATAGTACACACATAGGCGGTTTATTGGTGACAGATTAAAGGAACACTAAAAATTAAATTTTGGGGGTCTTTTTTATTTATTTCTATTCTATATATTTTCCTTATTTTTATTATCATTTTGAAATTTTCTTCTATTATATTAATATTTTTTTATAAACTTCTAGTTTGGTTCTTCAGAGGATGTTAAAGAGTCAGTTTCCACTTTGTCAGAGTTATGGTAATTTAGGCAACTAATTTTATTTAACTTTTTGGTTAACTAGCTAAATTAGATTTTAATATAGCAAGGGTGTCTTCTTTTTGGCAAATAAACACACATTTATTATTTTTATATTGCCTACATAATTCATTATACTTCACATAAGAAAAAAATAAATAAATAAATACACCTTAAGACTTGGAATGATTTTATTTAGGACAATATTATTGGAAGAAAAATTTATTGAATATTCGATATCTTTTGGTGAACTTCTTAATTGAAAATGAGGGTTAGATAGATCGTTGAAATATTCTTTTATTCCTTTTAGAGATTAAATCTTGTTGAGCCCAAAAATCGGAATTAGGATTTAGGCCCATGGGCCTATGCAAGATAGAGTCAGTGCCCAATTGCTAAACAATTCAGGGAACCAAAAGTCAAGAGACCATGTGTGATCGGGAGGAAATTGAGTCATAAAGGAAGCCAATTTGGTGGCTTATGCGTGATCGGGAGGAAAGTGAGTCATAAATGAAGCCAATTCGGTGGTTGTATGCATTTGGTTAGGTTATATGGCGGTTCAGTATATCTAAGTGGTTACAACTGTCCGAGCGGAAAATGGGGCATTCGGGAGCTAAATCGCCGACGGTTATCCACGATGCTTATAACCGAATAACTGATGAAGTATGCGATTACTAGCCAGAGGATAAATAATCCGGCTGGTGTCCGAACAAAGGACGGATCACTTCTTCACAAAATTTTATCTTTTATTTTGCTGCACTTTTAGTTTGTACTAGCTATTTTCTTATTTTTCATAGGTAACTTCTGAGTTTAGAGATTCACTGTCTCAGGCTTATCTTTTAAGTTCGGATTCAACAATTCGAATTTCACTTTATTTTGTTAATAAAATCCCTCGTACAATAATTGGCAACCACAATGGGAGTCTAGGCAAGATTTTTAATCCTACGTCGGAAGAAAATTTCATACATCTTTAGTCCAACTGAATCATCGGAAGGATCCATATGGAAGGCTCTCAGTCTTAGACCTCTAGCATGTATGTCGGAGTTTTTATGTCAGCCGCAACAACCATCCCAACCACATGAGGAACGGCTCAAGTAACAACCAAATGGTTAACATATGTTCAAAAAATGAAAAATCAATTAATAGCGATGGTGCAAACTATGTTGCGGGAGCAACAAAACCTGATGCAAAACATGCTAGACCAAGCTATGTCAAGAGTCACACTACAGTCTGCTCCTACGCCACTAGAAATAACACTATTTCAAGTGCTACTGCCCCAAGTAGGATGGATAGAGGAAAAAAACCCCTTTCACTTATCCTAACAATATCCCACTTGGAGCAAGATCCGATGTCATCCCTCCGGTTTATCCAAGGGAAGAACGACCAGGAGGATAAGCTCCCAACCCTATCCCTATTTCCAACCACCTACCGCTCAGTGTTAATCCCGAAGAGGTTGCACATGTGTTGAGAGTGCATTTTGGCATGAATCTGCAGATGGCTAACCGACCCGCCTACTCGAGGCCGTTCCCGAAGCTGATTTTCTTCTATCGAGTATATGGGCCGCTTCACCGCCCAATTGGGTAAAATCAATAACAATCCTTATTACAAACTATAGTTGTTTGGTCTCTCTTTAACGAGAACAACATTTTCTTAATTTGCCAATTTACCGTCTGGCCAAATCCAAACCTGAGAAGAGTTAGAAACAACTTTTCATGCTAGATTCTTAAATCCCGTCCCGACCGTATCCCTAACCAATTTGTTGGAGACAAAGCAGATGAGCGAAGAAAGCGTCTCTTATATTATAGAGCACATTCAATTGATGAAATGGAGGTGTCCGACTATCATTGATGAATGAGTGACGAATTTTGTGGTTCAAAACATGCACACCATATTAAGAGACGCTTTGACCGCCCACGATATCCAGAATTTGGCCCAATTCGCCTCAAAGTCAAGTGGGGTTGAAAATTTTTTCAAAGAAAAGGATCAAAACTTTAAAAGGGGGAAGTTCCAGCAAATGGCCGACATGGATATGGAAGCACACGCTCCAAATCTGACTTATGTTAAGGAAATAGAGGAATGGTGGCCGAAATTGTCAAAGAAAAGCCATACATTTGTTCTAAACTAAAGCTTGCCCCCGGTTTGGAGCCAAACAAGAAGCAACCGACGTTTGACACATCTAAGGTTGATGATATCTTCGACATCCTTTTAGCCGACGGTCAAATCTAAATAGCAAAAGGGCAAAGACTGGCCACCAAAGAAGAAATCAAAAGGAGACCGTATTGCAAGTAGCATAATTTGTTTACTTACAATACGAGCCAGTGTACTCATTTCAAAAAGGAGATGCAAAGGGCAATCAAAGAGGGCAGGTTCAAGTATGTTACTTTAGGAGTTGAGAAGCAACTATTCCCAAGGGTAACATTGGCTATAGTCAAAATTTGTAGTAAGAGTAAACACAAGAGGGTCAAAGAAGAAACATTGAGGCAAATTTTTGTGCGTGTGGCAAAAAAGTGGGACAAGACAGACAACTCGTAGTAAGTAGAGGTTAAAGACAGGGTCTTGGTACAAAATAGAAGTATGTGAAAGCTCCAAATGCCAAAAGGCGATAAATGGAATCGAAATCGAAGGCCACTTTGATAAAAGAAGATATGTTGTGATGCAGAGAAGGCGACCAAAGAAGGACAGTCGGCATGACCTAATTATGAACAAGTCGGGTATAATGCTGGAAAGGAATATCAGGATAATCAAGCAAGGAGAAATATTTGAAGGTCAGAGCCCACTTTGAAAAGGGCTCAATGTTTGAGGTGTCAGTTCTGTCACCGGATCAATGTGGATCCCGAATTGGGGAACCTTCCCGAGTTGGAAGGGATGACATTCGGGTCCTTTTTCCCGAATAAGATTCAAGATCTCATGCGGCTATGGCAAGTTTCACCGGACTTTGAAGATCAAATTAGGTGCAACAAGGTTTTTCATCGAGATATTTCCTTTCCTTTTCAAGTGAGGATGTCAGGGATGTACTTCATGAAAGAAAAACCGATTTAGGTTCGTTTTACTGATAACGAGACCTTGGAAGAAAAGTTGGTGGCTTTAGTGCCACCTGAATTGCTTAGACCACCTCCAATGGTTTTTCTCCCATTCCAGAAAGAGTGATGCTACACCTCAAACTTCTCTATGATTTTAATATTATGCCACTAAAATCCTTGCGTAAGTTGGGAAAGGAAGTGTCTGATCTCACACCAGTGAATATCAAAATGACGAGTTTTGGTGGGCAACCGATCAAACTGGAAGGCATGATGGTCACCCCATTAGAGGCTGGACCATAGACTATTTCTACGGTCTTATTCATTGTAGATACAGATACCAATTATTTCGTGTTGCTTGGAAGAGATTGGATACATCTTTCACATTGTGTGCCTTCATTACTCCATTAACAGTTAATGTATTGGGAAGGAAATCAAATCCTCGCAACGGAGGCTAGCAATAACCCTTTCTACCTTACTAATACAATTGAAGAAATTACTTTATATTCAGGCCAATTTCCACCGATTTCCTAGATGGCCTTGGTGAACGAATATCTATGGAAGAGCTGCAGGTTTAATAGTTAGGGATACATGTTCTTTTAAGAAGAGAAATGTATCATCTTTCTATGATTGATAATACCTAAAAGTTTACTTTTGATTTTTATGCTATGATGATGAGTACTAGGAATATTGAGGAATATAATAGCATCATTTATGATAATTATTATAAAAAAATTTGATGTCTAGAGTAAAGAATTCGGATTTGAGGTTTTATATCCAGACCCAAGATGACCAATTTAAGCGGCCAGATATTTTAGATAAATAGAACCATTTTTTACATTTGAAGATCCTTTAGTGGAATTCAATGTGGGGCAGATGGAGCCCTGTAATGGTTCACGTTAATGGATTACTACCATGATCACAACAATAATTGTTGGTCAATTTGATTCGGAAGCATGTTGATTGTTTGGTTTGGGATTATTTAGAGATTCCTGGATTAGATCGGGGCCAAATTAAGCACAACTACCTTTCAAAGAGGGTTTTAAGCCTTACAAACAAACCCCACAAAATATTACGCCAAACTAATGCCTGAGATCAAGGAAGAAATTGAAAAATTGTTTAAAGTTGGTTTCATTCAGCTATGCAGGTATGCAGAATGGTTAGCTAACATAGTTCCAGTAACTAAATAGAATGGTAAGATAAGAATCTATATAGATTTTAGAGATTTGAATTGGTTACTCCAATGGACAAGTATGTTATGCCAGTGGCCGATATACTTGTCGATTATGCCGCAAGCCACCAAAATTTGAGCCTGATAGACGGGTATGCAAGCTATAATCAAAT